AAACAATTTCATTTTTTGTGACATGCAGCACCAGCTTACCTTTGAATAACTGAAATGCTTATGTACAGTGCAGACATTCCCCCATTCATTAAGACTTTCAGATGTCCCAGGCAGCCTTACAGAGATAAACACAAGGGACTAGCTGTCCTACGTCCTATGGATCTCTGTGCCTGGGCTTTGGGATGAGTGCTGATGAACCTATCCCTCTCTCATGGTTTCCCAGGTAGCATACTACCAGCTCAAGTGCACCAGGAAATATCAATATATTGTGAGTGCACCATCAATATCAAAATACCATCACAGTAGATGATTTCTCAGGCAACTAAGACCAGAGATTTATAAGGCAATGTTAGTTTCCAAAATTGTACCTACCAGAAAATAGAAAGTTTAGTTCAATGTAATTCTGGGGGTGGTTCTCCCTATACCGCCTCCCCCCCCAACCCCCAATGCTGTATTGTTAGTTTGATGCCAGAAAATTTCTTTTGTTAAGGCCACTGACACCAAATAGTGAAAAAGAAACCACGAATCACAAAACCCAAACGTAAAGATCCTAATGAAGAAGAGATAGCAGGGTAGAAGATCATGAAAAAATGCCCTGAAAGACTGCTTATAATGAAACAGACCTCATCTTGAAGAACACATCCACATAATAACATCAAGAGGCTTAAAAATAACAATTAGGATGCACAGGTAGTATCATACGATAAACATAGTTTGTAGAGCTTCATTAAAATGACAGAGTGCTAGTTTATGTTACAAGGATAAAAAATAAGACTCCAACATGCTAGACAGCCCTGATCCACAGCGGTATGTGCATGAGCACTACTTGAAACAGATTCTGCACTTGCTTAGATTTTGGCATGGACTTAAAACTGCTTGGATGAGGCTAGATGAGGACCTTTAAGCCTAGAATGTTCACCTGAGTTTTAAAATGAATCAGACTTATTAAATGGATAGTTGGATTATATTTTGAAGGAGATATTTTTTAAAAAGTTGACATTATTAAAAATTAGTGGAATTATTATTTTTTTTTAAATATGCTTCATTTATCTCAGTGATTGAATAATGAAGTCTGAAAAATGGTTCCTTTGCATTACCCAGATCCTCTCCCTGTTTCTTCCTTTAACACCATCTATAGCTGTCAACCTGCAGGACCCCTGAGAGCACAGCAGGGTACATCCTCACTAAGTGGCTGGTGAGGCACTAGCCTGGGGTGCCCAGAGAAGCTGTGGCTGCTCCATCCCTGGCAGTGTTCAAGGCCAGGATGGACACAGGAGCTTGGAGCAACCTGCTCTAGTGGAAGGTGACCCTGCCCATGGCAGGCAGTTGGAACTCAATGAGCATTAAGGTCCCTTCAACCCAAATCATTCTATGATTTCACTTCTAGACAAGTAAGTCTCAGATTCTCCCTGGGGAAGATGATTCCTCTGTGCTGAACTCTGCTTGCTCCAAGGAATGTTTTATATGGTATGGCCACTCTCCACTACAGTTTGCTTGCAAAAGTGGATATTCCTCTTTTGACTGCAAAAGTTTGATTTGACTCTTTGGGTCTCCTGAACATGTTCACATGCATTCACCTTCCCATTCATCTATTTGTAACACAGATTGTTCCTTATTATTTTTGAAGAGAGTTAGAGGATAAACTGAAAAAGTTCAAGCAGTTCTTTTATGATTCTTATTTGCATTTAGCTATAAAGCTCCTAAAGCTTTTCATCATTTCACTACAGGAAATTATACCCTGGATTGTCTTTTAGACTGACAATAAAGAGAGTATAAGCCTTTTGCTTACTAATTGTACTTTTGGATTTTTTGAGAGATGGATCACTGCACAGATATTTGTTTCTTTTTCCCTACTGTACCCAAATTTCAGCTTAATTGCTCATGCAGCAGAGTCTTTGGGGTCCAAAATTAGACTGAACTGCTCCTGAATACCTTCCTTGGTGAACAGTGCAGGCAGGAAGCAGATGGAGAACGGGCCAAAAGGAACTTGTGAGAAGCACCCACTCTTTCCAGAGCCAGGTCACAAAACTAACCATGGGTAGTGCCTGCCAGCAGCCAGACTCTGAGCTACTGGCACAGTACAAGGAGCAGGGGTTGTCCCCTTGTCGCTAAGTCTGGGTTCTGCCGGAGTGTTTAGCTCCTTTCACAGGAAACAGGAAAGAGAAAAGTCCTTATCTGCTCCATGACATTTTTCACAAATTGGTTGTTTGCACCAAAACCTATGAAGTATCATAGTTCTTTGTCCTGCCGCAGACCAAAAAGGATTTTGAGTGAAGTGCACATTAGAAATAGCACAGCAACTACAAGACCATTGGATCTCTTTTACAAAGGCTTTATTTTGCTAGCATCGTACTTAACTGACATTTTTCCATTATGTATCTAGTGATGAGAAAACTTTGCTATTTAAGACTATGCTTTTCAGCTGACCAGGAAAATTCCCCAAATTCTACAGCCCGCATTCTCATGAAAACATGTTTCTTCCCTTCCTGTGTCCCCCTCCCCTAGCACATTAGTATTTTGCAGCAGTTTAACCAAAATGTTACTCTCCTGGAAAACATTTTTAAGGTATTTTTTTCCAAATCAACTATACTGTGCTTGATTTTTTTTGTCCTTGTGTCACATAAACCTTTTCCCACACTTTGCTGAATAGATTAAATACTAAATCTGTATTCCTGAAGCAGCTTCGGATGATGCTTTTATTGACATAAGTTATTTCTGTTGATTGACATGGACATCAAGGCTGTAGATCACAAGAATAAATCAGGGACGAGCACACGAAGATGGGAGAAGGGCAGATGACTGCTGGTCATAGGTGGGCCAGGGAAACACATTTAGTTCCATGAACCAGGGCACACACCACATCTCATGCTACAATAGAATCTGTAGGTGTTTCCATCTCCTCATCTACACCAGTCAGAGTATTAATGAAAGAGCTGCTACTGTGACTTTATGCATCTCCAAAACCATACAGTATTGCAAATGCTTGCTTAGAGGTGTAGTGACATAAGCAGGGTCCCCTACAGAACCAGAACCCAGCTCCATGTCTGTCCTTAACATAAGAAGGACATGGAGCAGTTGGAGCATGTGCAGAGGAGGCCTTGAAGATGATAAAGGGGCTGGAGCACCTTCCATATGAAGACAGGCTGAGAAAGTTAGGGCTGTTCAGCCTGGAGAAGAGAAACTGCGTAGAGACTTCAGAGCAGCTCCCAGTTTGAAGCTACAAGATCTCATGGCTACAAGGATACCAGAGAGGGACTCTTAATCAGGGACTGTAGTGATAGGACAAGGGATGATGGGATCAAACTGAAACAGGGGAAGTTCAGGTTAAATATAAGGAAGGAGTTCTTTACTGTGAGAGTGGTGAGACACTGGCACATGTTGCCCAAAGAAGTGGTAAATGCTCCACCCCTGGCAGTGTTCAAGACCAGGTTGGACGGAGTCTTGGGTGACATGGTCTATTGTGAGGTGTCCCTACCTGTGGATGAACTAGATGATCTTAAGGTCCTTTCCAACCCAAACCATTCTGTGATTCTACTCCTGCATACCAGCCTCAGTGAGAGAGACTGAAGCCCACAGAAAGAAGGATTTCCCATTTCCCTCACTGCCTGCTTTCTCTCTTCAGAACTCTGTGCACTAATGTGCAAGGCACTCTGCACCCTATCAGTCACAGTGAGACAGCATTGAAAGGTCAGAGAAAAAAGCTTTGGCTATACTAGAGCATCTGCCAGCAGGATGACCTTACTCATTAGGTACTTTGCAAAAGCAGAACTAACAGCATCTAAAGTGAAGTTGCTCAGGATGGTGTTAGCAACAGTCCTGATTTCTGTAGCATTCAGAGCGTCAAAGTAGGACCTGAGTGCTCCACACGCACCCTGCCTGGACGAGGGGCAGCTACGATGTGCTGCTTCTCCCTCTCTCCAGCCTGCTGGTGCGGCGCTCTGGGCTGGCTGCGGACCACCAGCCTGCCCTGGGGAGGAACGGCTGTTTCCTGAGTAGGGAGGGACCCACGGGGACAGCTCAGTGCTCCCGGGGGTCCTCTGCCCGGGGAGGGAAATGTGCAAAGTTGCTCTTTCGTGTGTGAGAGCAGAGCTCCCCGGGAAAAGGCAGCAGGGCTGTATTATGCCTCCATTGAGAGGAAGGGGGCGATCCAACCTTGCCTGGGGGTTAGAGCTGCTGCTGCCCACCCGAAAACAGGGCCCAGCCACAGGATGCTCGTGTTAACTTCACTGAGGCAGGAGCTGGCTTATGGGCGAGGCGGAAAGGCAGCAGCCTGGCGCTGCCTGAAACTGCTCTGGGTAAGAGTGGTTTGCGTGCGAGGGACCGTCCGCGGCTCCCCCGCGCTCGGAAGCCGCTTCCAGCGGCAGGTGACCGGGGTAGGGGGGACGACTCCCGAAGCCTGGCGCCCTCGGTGCTCCCGGGGCGGGCGGTCGTGACCCGTGGGGGAATGGAGCGGATGGGGGCGTGGATGCCTGGGTGAACGGATTAGGATGGATGGAGCGGGAGAAAGGTCGAAGAGGAGTGAAGGATGGTCGGGAGGAAAAAGGTGAAGATGGGGAAAAGGATGGAAGGAGAAAGGATGGAGGGAGGAGATACGGTGGGAGGGGAGAAGGCAGGAGGGGGAATGGAGAGAGGGGAACCAAGGAGAATTGCAGAGACGGACCAAGGGCTGTGGAAAGCGAGTGATGAACGTGAGACGTGAACACGCGACAGCGGGAAAGAAGGACAGGGTAGTGCTCTGCTCCCTGAAATGTTCGCGCCCTTGGGCATCCGTGCTCCTTCCTCGCCGCCTCTTCCCCCCGTAGGAGCCGGAGCCACCGGACTCGCTCCGCGGCAACGGATGCCTGGACTGGACTCCACGGGCCGAACCGGACCGGACAGAACAGGACAGGACAGGACAGGACCAGACCCGACCCGACCTTACCTGACCTATCCTATCCTATCCCAGCCCGGCCCCCCGCGCCTTTGCACTGACCGCCCCCGCGCCGGCCCCGCCCGCCGCTCCGGCCCCTCTGCCCCGCCCGCGCCGCTGCGCCGCCGTGCCCCGGAGGGGCTGCAGGGCCGGGCGCGTCCGCGAGGGGCGAGGGCGGCGGCGGCCCCCCGGGACAATGCGCTGAGCGCTCGGGGCAGCGGCAAGCAAAGTTGCGGTAGAAGATGAACAACGCCGGTAAGTGCGGGGGCCCGGCGGGATGGCTCTCAGCCTCCAGGCATCTTTTCCTCTGGGCTGGCAAGCGCCGGGCGGGTTTCCTTCCTCCGGTACCGGCAACCCTCCTTCCCTTGGGCCGGCACTCCCCGTCTCCAGAGCCAATACCACCGGGATGGCACACCCATCCCTCCTCGTCCGGGCACTGCTCCTCTGGGCTTGCACCCCGTCCCCGTCCCGGCATCCCTCCTTCGGGGCCGGCAGCTTCACTAGGGTTGGCACCCCTCCTCCGGGCACCCTGGGACCGTGTTTCCCTTTACTCCTCCTGCCCGGCAGGTGCTCGCTAGCTGCCCGCGTCGCTCCCCGCACCCCGGCGTTGTGCGGGCTCCATCGCTCGCCTCGCCGCACGGGGACGAGCAGCAAGCTCGGGCGAGGCGAGGGTCCGGGGATCGGCGGATCGGGAAGGCCGCGCCTGGTGGGGGCCGCGCTCTGCGCCCACCCTTCCTTTGGGAACACTGAGCCCTTCACAGAGCCCGTAGGAAATCTGCTGTTATCTTGTTTCTGAGTTTGGAGGAAGTGATGCTTTTTTTTTGCAGAATTTTCTCTCCATGGCAAACCCAAACCCTTCCTCCACTAACTTCCCAGAATTTTTCCTTGATGGAAATTAGGAAGGTGAAAGAGACAGGGTGAGAAGGGAGCAAATATCAAAGGCAAGGTGTTCAACCGTTAAAACATTAAAGGAAGTCACTGGAACATCGGGTCAAGCTTTACATTTTCCCGCAACACTTTTAGATTTTCAGGGGCGAGCCGTGTGTGTAAAACCCTAGCAATCCAGATAACAACTGTTGCTAACTCGAGTCTTTTTGGGAAAATCTAATGCTGCGTCTAGAACCAAAGAGGAAGATGAATGGTCCCTTTTGTGTTAACCTGAAAATTATGGTGGGCACCTCACTTGTATGGGTACATCTTGAAGCCTCAAGATTTCACCGCGAGATACCTTGCCTTAAAACTTTAATGTCTTGGGAAACTGTGAATCATTGTTTGCCAAAGCACAGGAGCATACAGTCGGAAAGGACCTTCTGGGTCAGACCCAGCCCTCTGCTCCCGCACCACCCCTCTGTGTTTAAACCAAAAGGTTCTCTTTCCCCTTCAGATTGAGGAGTGTGACACCCTCCTACCCAAAAAAGTGGTGACATTTCCATTCTATTTTCTGATCCTGTCTGGACTGGGCTCTGTCCCTCCCAGGAGACAAACTTAGTTGAACGTTAAGTGGGCCAGCCAAAAATTGCTTTATCTGTGATGCTCCAACCTCTCTTTCCTCAACTCTCCATTACTTAAATCAGATTGTCTCTAATTTGATCTTGTTGTCAGAGAAAAAGCAGTGTAAGAAATATCAGATGTATCCATTTGTAAGAACTTAAATTAGCAGGTTTGGGTTTTTTTTTCGGGAATATAGACTGAATGGGACTACCTTCATTACCCAAAGCAGTACCCATTGTTACAGAACACAAGGTCATGTTACTCCTTTTGTTAATTCATCAAATTATATCTTAAACCAAAACTTTTTAGGTAGCTCTCCTCCTATCGCTTTCACGAAACTGAGAACCTTTTACCACGGCTAGTTCTAGTTTCCAGATCAGATTCATCACTATTTATTCTTGTGATTACACTGTCCTTTCACTTAAAAATAGTTCTTTTCCTCCTCTGGTGTTTACCTCCAGGCTGTATTTATAGAGTGCTCATATCCCTTCTCAGCCTTTGTTTTCTACATTCACACAATGCAAGGAATGTCTCTCCCATCAGTGCAAAGCAGAACTTCCTACTGAATCTCAAGGAGAGGGGTATTTATTAACCAACACAACTCGGGGACCAGCGTTAGCCATCTTTGTATGAGAGTGAGTAAACCACAGCCCCAGTACACGGAGTTGTATGTGCAGGCGTATATGGAAGCCTTGATGCCACAGAAGCTAAAATAATGACAAACGGAAAACAGGAAGGGAGATATGGATTATCCTCAGAGATGCAGAACTGGTATGAAAAGAAAGATGAAGCAGTCCACCCAAGGTCACAGGAAATCTGTGGTATGAGGCAAGAGACAGACCCCCATCTCCCAGTCTCATAGGAGCTTCCAGCTTCTGAGTACAACTTTGTTTGCCAGGAGTTGAAGTGGTGCTGCCAGGCAGAATGTACATATGTTAGACTCCAGATTGTTCAGAGGTGTAAGCAGACTATATATTCTCTCAGCTGCTAATGAAAGTGATACAGGAAAACCTGCCTGTCATGGTTTAAGCCCAGCCGGTAACTCAGAACAACACAGCCACTCGCTCACTCTGCCACTTCTTCCTCCTCCTGCTCCCGGAGGGATGGGGAGGAAGATGCCTTATGTACCTGTTGGAGAACTGTAACCAACATCATTGGCTCCTAGGAAGCAATATATGAAACAACAGGTGTACATAAGCTGTCCGCTCTAGTAGGAACTTCCTGTTGTGAAATCACAGCGAAATTGGAAATACCACTAGCACTTACAGTTAGACACATAAATGGCAAGATTAGAACAAGATCAGTTAACTGTCATGTACATGTGGGCTTTCACAGTCAGCCCCTTCCATCCCTCCAAAGTCTTGTATGTACTGTCTGCTAGAGACAGTGAAAATGCTTGAGAATTTTCAGGGTCAAGATTTTTTTGTGTGTGTTGAAATTCATCCTTTTCTTATTGTTTTGTATTTAGATGTTTCCCCTTTCCTAGCAGTGTTTCTCTGTGGGATGTTATGCTGTTGTATTACAGTTACAGATAGTTGCAATGAAGTTACATAGTAAGAAATTTGTAAGCTATTGAGCTGATATCCCAGAGTCATAATGCACTGATCTAGTCATAGAGGATGGACTCCAATAACTGTACAGAACAGCATTGTATTTCTGCAGAGTGAGATGTGCTCTGACAGCCCATCTGTTAATATTTCAATTAAGATTTGTAAGAAGACAACATTCCCATGGGATAGTTAACTACTGACTACCAGTCTGTCCTCCCACTAGTGGAACCTTGCTATATACAGAGTACTTTTGGTCACACATTTGGAGAGTATGCACTCCTAATTGAGGACAGATGTTTTTCAAAATTATCAGATTTATGCAAAAGCTGAAATCACAGAATCACAGAACGGTTTTCATAAATGTCTGAGGCATTTGGGAGCCAATCACCTGCTGGCTTTGAAGAGAACCTCAGATCTCAAGTGCTTAAAACCCCAGTCCTCAGAAGATGCTCGAGTATCTAATTCCTGTTCAAGTCAAACGGGACTGAGGTCCCTTGTGAAAGGAAGACTTGCACTCCTATGTCAAGAGAAAATCTTAGTCTAGATACCATTTCCATTCTAAGTGACTCCCATGCAACCTGTTTCCATTTTTTTATGTAACTTTTGTCATTTCAAACTTTTCTCTGAAATAAGTACAAAGTAAGTGATGCATTTACATGCTGTAAAACAAAGAACTACTTTTACAGCAAGTACTGCAAAATTCATGACATCTCAGTTATTTACAGTACATCCTGGGGTCCTACCAGTGACAGCATTGGTGTTTTATGAGTTGAAACCTTTAAAGAGATTGTGCTTTCCCTGTAAATCATGCTACCTCATTTATTCAATCTCCAACATATTGAAGCAGGTTACACAGTTTATGCTGGGTACTTAATTTAGAATGACATTCAAATGGCTTATCTATATAGGCAGCTTAAACACACTCTCACTGTCTGACTTGGACAGCTGGCAGAATTGTAATTACAGGTTGGAACTTACAGCTTCCTGTATTGGAAGAGTAATAAATGAGTTTTAGGCAACTCTGCTTGGTTTCCCTTACATTCCTGGCAGCATTACTATAGGAGTTGGTGCCCATGTTCTGGCCAGTTCCAAACCCAGTGAAGCAGCATGTGCTGTTTCACTCCCAGTGGAGCTCTATGTGCTATTCTGATAGGAAGCTCTGTCTACATTCCCTCAGACCAATTTCTTCTGTGAGGAGTAAGCACCATGGTCAAAATATAAACCCATGTATTAGACAAGATGAAACAGAAGTACAGAATTTCTCCTCTGTCCTGCTTTGTGAGAAATTGGAGTTGTTTTGGTAGCTGAGGTGTGGAAATGTCTTCATTTGACTGTACAGTGCAGTCACACTGTTTCCAGAAGTTTCTGCATTTGTGCAGCACTTGGCACATGTGGCTCTTGTCAATGGTAGTAGTTCTTAGACAGCATTGTCATGCTTGTATGTGAGAGGGAGTGTGAGCATGATGGCTGCTGGTGCAGGATAAGTACTTTGTTGTTTCATGTCGTTGCCTAGTTCATAGACTAAAAGTGTTACCATGAAATAACTCCTATCCCTCCCGGTCCAAATAATTCTGTGTCTATAATAGTGTTTCAGCAAGTGACATGGAAATGAATTCCTGTGTTTACCATTATTCTTAAGTTTGCTTATTCTCATTTCCTCAATAACTGGGACTTAGGTTGCCTCAAATGGAGAATTTGATTCCAGTCTTTGGAAGAAGTTACAGATTTGCTTGATAAATGCAAAGGCATACACTGATGGTTGTGTAGTATTTTAGCAGTGCATTCTGATTTAAAAGGAAAGCATCTATATAACAGAATGGGTTAATTAGACTGAGGACTGGCTAACTGGCAGTAATGGATCTTTGTGGTACTAACCTCTGTAACATCATCAAATGGTGGGATGCATAGTTCTGGGACCGGGATTACATTGTTACTGTCCAACATCTTCCTTAGTAGGAGAGCAAATAGGAAAGTATCAGATGACAAAGTTGACTTTGTGGTATAAAGATTAGTGAAAGGGTAATTAACAAAGTAGGCAGTGCAGTTATATAAACAGATCTGGATCCTTAAGTTGGATCCATTCAAAAAATTTACACATAATTACACAGTTTAGAGACAATGAGATCATAATGGACAAGCAAGTCAACCTGATACAGTAACAAGTTAATGGAGAATAGTGAGAACTGGGTGAAAGACAGTACTGAACTCTGTAGA